TTACAAAATGTAGCTGCTGTGGGAGTATTCCGTGTTGCTACGGGACACATCGTTTGAATTTTTTCAGTTCATATTTGTGTAGTACCTATATTACGTATGTAGGTATATTTGGAATGCCCGTATAGTAGGTAAATCGTTCATTAACTACAGCGAGCAAAGAAGGTCATGAAAGCTGGCCAGATATATAAAATAGAACGGGCATAACAAAAAAAAAAAAAATGATTTTAGTGAAATTGCAACACGACATTCGCACAATTAATAATTACTTTTGTTTCAATTCCGTGCGCACAGTGCCCGTGGACGATAATGACGAGCAAGTGGAAGAGGTGCCAGTTGCCGCTGAAGCATTGGAAGATGTCGCTGAGCCTGAGGAGGCTGATGAGCATGTAGAGTCCGCACTAGAGCCAGCTGAACTCGTTGACACTGAGCTGTGGCAGGAATCACGCGCGGCACTAGCTGCACCACTGTCAGCGCCATCAAGTATCGATGTTTGCGATGCTACTACTGCCCCTCTGAAATTATTTGCCGCCAGCGCTGCTTTTAAAGGCTTTGTTTGTGCCAATTGTGCAGCAATGGCGTTTGCTATTGTCGTCGTTGTTCCAGTTGTTGTTGTTGCCGTTGTGATGGTTGACATGCAACTGACAGGTGGAACGCGCCCTGTCATTGTTGTTGTTTTGTCCATTGCTGTGGCAGTCGATGTCGATGTTGGTGATAGCAGTCTGCTTAGCTGCTGTTGTTGCGATTGTTGTTTTTGGGCATCTAATTGTGCTTGTAAGCTGCCAACCTCAGCTATGTTAAGCATATGTGGCAATGCTGTTGCTGTTCGGCCTCCTCCTCCTCCTCCCACGGCCGTTGCTTTTGTGTTGTTTGCAGCTAAAGCTATCGGAGTTGCTGTTGCTGTCGCTTCTGCTGCCAGTGATTCCATTGTTTGCATACTCATAGCTGTCACCTGTTTGTCGACGCCACTATTTGTCAATTGCGTTGCATCCAGGTTGGCGGCTGTCATTTCGGTAGTCTGCGTTTTTGTTGCTGTTTCCATTTGACTTGCTTTTGCTGCTGCCTCATCGGTAGTAGCGATTGGCTTCAGTGCTGCAGCGGCTGTTGTCGTGTAGCCGGGTAATCGCGCCAAAGCGGCTATTGCACCGATTGTAGATGTTTTTTGTTGGTGTGTTGAGGGATTACTTGCACTGGTTGCTGGTGTTCTTGTCGATTGCTCAGCCGGCGCACTCAGTTTGGGCGCTGTCAAATTTGTTTTTGCTTTAATGGTCGACTTGTTGGGCTGCGCATAAATGTCACTGATGTCAGCATTAATACCCTTGCTGTTGTTGTTGCTGTTGTTCCTCTTAGTAGGAAAATTGTTGTGTACATCAACATTTTGATGGCCTGTCAAATTCATTACTGGGGCTGTAATTAAGGTAGGTGTCACATTTGTTGCTGTTCCTGTCTGGCTTCCTGTTTGCATGGCTAGCAAATTAGCTGTAGCTGGCTGTTGTATTGCGTATACCCGCTCTGTATGATGTGTAGGTTGTTGTTTCTCATTTTGTTGTTGTTGTTGTTGCTGAAATTTATCGTCCACTCCCACGGAGGAAATTGGCCGACTTTCGAAGCTTTGTAGGCCAGCATCAGCGCCGCTACTTAAGAATGTTGTTACGCCCGTAACACCTGCTGTCGTAATCGTAGGCGTCTTTGAGCCGATTTGAGTGTTGGTTGGCGCTAATGACGCGCCAGATATGCTATGCATTGCTGTTGTTGTCTGCGTCGTCTTTGCATCTTTCACTCTACTACTTGGCAGGCTATTAAAGATCACCGCAGCTTTGTCGGTTGTGGCTGCCTCATTTCGCTTAAGCGTCGAGTAATTAGCATCAGAAGCGCCACCACACATCTTTTGCTTCTGCTGTGGTATTAAGGGGCCCACAATAAGCGTATTCTGCGTAATTGGCGGTTCTTCTTCTTCCTCAGCTGTGCAATCGTGTGCCAACATCAGCGGCGATGTTGTAATATTGCTGCTGTTGCGACGCTGCGAAGGCTTACGTCCCAGTGTGGAGATGGTGCGAGGTGGCGGCAACGGCGGGTAGCGCGCACCCATGCTGCCGCCCATGGTGCTGCCAAAATGTGGCAGAAAACTATTGGGCGGCAGTGAATTGCGTTTATTGGTGGTGCGCAAATCGAGCGTCATAGGTGGTGAATCGTCTGCGCTCGCAAGAAATTTCACATCAGCGTTGGTTGTTGTTGTGGTGGTTGCTTTCGTTGTGGGTAAAACTTTTGGATAATTACGACTTTTAATAACTTGCAGTTGCTGTGCAGGTGTGAGTGCATGCGCGAGCGCTGCAGCGTCGTCGTCATCGCGACTAGTCACATTTATATCCTCGCCCACAAAGCTGGTCACCTTCTCATCTTGCTCGGTCGTGGCGCCGCATAAGCTGCTATAATAGTGCTGCATGTCGACGGGGTCGGAATGCGAATGCGCATGCTGCGGTGTTTGCTTGTATATCGGCAATTGCCCCTGTTGTGGTAATTCTGCCTCGCACGGCTCGGTGGCAGCTGAATGCTGACGCACGAGCGTATAGCGCGAGCTATCGAGCGAATTTTGTGGCGTGAGCAGCTCCTGATCGACCACCTCCACTTCCTGGCATATTATTATATTTCGGCCATCTGCCTTCAGCTTAAGCGCCTCAATGGGCTCCTGCTCCAGCACACTGCTGCTTCGCGTCTGTGGTGTGGCATCCACGGCGACACTCACTTTCTGTGGCTGCACTGGCTGTTTGAAACTGCCACCGGCGCTGCTGCTGCGTAGCGAAGAGAAAGTGGGCGATGATGATTTCTTTGAACCACCCTTGGAACTATCGGCACCACCACCACCGGCACATGCCTTCGCCTCCGCGGCGGCACCTGCGGCAGCCGACATCCAAGCGCATACCTTTGTGTGCGCATCCACAGTCGATGTGCTTAACTGCCGTGTCATTTGAAAACCATTGATGGGTGAACGTTCCGTTTTCACCGCTTCATATGTGTTCGATTTGCGTACAATATCCAGTATGTAGCTTTCATCTCCGTCATTTTGCTTTGAGCGCTTGAACTCATCATCGGTAGTGCCGTCATAGCTGAGTATGCCGCCTAGCTTGCGTTGCATTTTGTGCGCCTTCTTCTTCTTCTGCAGCAAGAAGGTTGAGTAGATGATGACATTGAGCACAATAAAAACGGCAATCAGTCCGATGAGCAGTTGTATTGTCGCCTCTGATTTGGCAACTTCCTCTTTGTTGCCTGCACTACTGGCGCTACCAATGCTTGCGGCATTTCCTACGGCACTTCCTGCAGCATCACCTGCACTACCGTAAATTGCGTCACCTCCACCTCCACCACCACCACCGCCGCCACCATTGTCATCTTCTATAATTTCCGCTCTTGGCACACCATAAATTGCATTGCCGCCGCCAGCCAATGCCGCACCAGTGCCAACACCGAGCCCAGTAAAACCACCCAAAGCATTTTCCCTAACTGCGAAACCCGCACCAGGCACTCCAATAATGCCACCCATGCCACCTGCGGCGGTTAACGCATAGAGCTGCTCATCATCCGCATGCTTGGCTACGCCAAAGGTCGGTGGCGCATTATACATATTCTCCGCCAAAGTTTCCACGCCTACCACGCCTCCACCATTCGTACTGCTGGCGCCTGCCTCACTGCTGCCACCCATTTTCCATGGCTCCTGGAGTAGCAGTTTCAGTGTGCGTACCGGATCCTCGGCACCATTATCACGTGTGCCAAATTGACTCATGTGCCCGGTTATTACTTCGCTGCCACCTCCACTACTGCCATGTCGCTGCATCGAATATGTGTTGTGCGTTGTGGCAGTTGTTCCACCGCGTGGATGCTGTGTTGCAATAGCACCGTCGGCTCCATCGTATACGGTTGCATGCAAATACGGTTGTCTTTGTATGTTTGCGATTTGATTCAGTTCATCGGGTAGCTCTTTGTTCCAGAAATTCATGTAGATTTGCCGGTACTTGTAGCCAATCGATGGTGGTATGCCTGCGAATATAAAATGAAGAAGTTTGTGAGTGCTTATGCCTGAGCGTGCGTATGTGTGTGTAAGTAAGTGAACAAATATAGTATGAAGTAGACGAGAGTTCTTTCATTGGGTTATGTCGTACTGAGTTGAAAAACTGAAAGCCTCTTGGCACTGAAGAGCTCAAGTACGAGCGCTATATTGAAAGGGACGCTGTGTGGGCGAGGAATTCCACAGTAAAATGCTTAGTATAATATTAAAATCAATCACTTGTACAGATAACTCAGGAAATAAGAATAAACAGTATCTGACATTTACAAATAAAATATATATCAATAGTTAAAATCTGTTTTGATTTGTAAAATTTTGATCCATAATTTTGCATTAAGATTTCATTGGGAGGCCGCATAGTTCAATTGCGATTCCCTGAGCAAACCGATTTCCTCAAAATATTTTCCCGCAAAAAAATTTGTTTCTATTTGCATGATTTTAGTAAAAATATTTTTGTCTAAGAAATGCTTTTTTATCTAAAGAACAAAGCTTTCCAAAAATGAGATGTTTATGTATGTATGTAATTTTTTTCATATTTTATTATTTTTTTAATTACTTTTTTTCCTAAAAATTAAATTTTTCAAAAAACAATTTTTATCAACGAATTTTTTCCAAAACCTAGATTTCTCTAAAAAATTTATTTTTTCTATAAATTCACTATCCTCTAAAATTGTTTTTTTTTTATTTCAGATACTTGTTTTTAATTTTTGTTAAATTTTTCTAGTTTTGGAATAAACTTTTATTTCTAAAACTTTATGGTAAAAATAAATAAATATGAGGCACGTTACGGAGAAACAGTTAGCTTTAAAATAATTCGCACAATATTCTTTGTGAAGCATGTTTCACTTGGTCCTAAAATGTAACCACTCCCACTTTCTGGCGAATTCTAGTAAATGGCCTCAGAAAATTATTGCTAAATAGAACCTACCATTTCCAAACCTATATAACTTCTTATAGGGCTTGGGACATGTAAGTCATGGAACTCATAATACACTGTCTCGTTAGCGTTTCGATGGGGAGTCGAACTTTTCGTTTTGAAATCCTACTCGAGCTCCCCGTAGAGATATGATTGTGGAATCAAACTAACTCCAACGGGAACGATAGAGCTAGGTTAATCAATGTTATTAACTTCATCGAATAGGTCTCAGCCAGCAAAACGCTGCAGTAATCTGGGTGGCTGTAAGCCTCTCTAGAAGAAAAAAGCCGAGAGAATTCATCAGGTTAGTTTTGTAAAGGCATTTATGAATGTTGAAATCAAGTCCAGAATGATATTAAGTTGACAGGTGGTAATAAGAGTTTCAGGTATGCAGTTTCAAGTTCACTGAAAATTTCTATAATAAATAGCACGATAACCTATCGGCCGATGTGTAGAACATACTTAAACTCCGTAGACCAATAGTATTCCTTCTAATGTCACCTAAACGCTACCTGCTTAGTGAGTTAGCTTTGCTTCATATATATAAAAAATATAATATCAAAATGGCATTTATACAAAAAAGAAACGGGCTTAATAATCGAGGGCACAAAACCTGGACATTGACAACAAATGACGGCAACAGTGCTAGGAGATTTACTGAAATTACGGGAGTTACCAAGAAGATACGAAGAAAACTTTTTAGACTTTAGATGAAACAGATAAAAGTTCAGAGACGGACAACGATATTCTACAGACATAACTCAAAAAATAAACATAAAACGAAATAGTTATAAGTTAAATATATAGTTATTTAAAATAATTCGGTATGTTAAAACTTTTTACATTCAAACTTGAAAATCCGTTTTGTTTGCATTGTATGGCTTTAAAATTGATTTAATAGTTTGGGATTAAGATATCTCTAAAATAGGTTTCACTTCAATTTTCCATTTTGCTACAATACCTCCTCAAAGGACCTCTGTGGTCATCCAGTCGGTCCCCGATCAAGGAGAATTTATTTAAGCCCACTTTTTACAAAAAAAATCTAAGCACCTGAACCAATTAAATATTTTTTCTGGCTTACTTGTATGGGGTGGTCCATTGTGTGGCGTACCTATGAGCCATGAGGCATCCACAAGAATTCCGTCACGATATTCAGTGAATCTCGCGCAGACGAAGATCTGCAGCTGCAGCGGGAGACTGATGTTGCACTGTCCCAGTTGAGGTATGGACATTGCAGTCGTGTGAACTCACATCTACTCTGCCTCAATCCCGACATCAGTATACATAAGCAGCTGATGAAGGTTCCCACTACACCACCAACCATCTCTTAGGCGTACTATGGTGTACTATGGACACTGGTTCTTACCGAAATCCTAGAAAAGCTTAAATGGCAATGGATTTAAAGCATGCGGATATTCAGATCGCTTAGTCATCTGCGTTGTGGGCTGACATGAGGACACTATTTCCACCAGATTGCAAGCTGCGCGCTGATTAACGGAAGACGGGTATGCTGCAAAGGGATTGTCAATAAACCCACTGAAGTGCACTGTTTTCCTGTTTATTAAAAGAAGGACATTCAGCTTGACTGGGCCCACCTTGGCAGGAACAGAAATAGACTTCTCAGAAAAGGCTAAATAGCTATCGGCAACGCTCGACAAAAGGATCAATTGGAACTCACATCTCTCGAATGTTATCAACAACGCTACAAGAGAAGATTTTATGCCTGTCCGAGACTTCATGGTAAAATTTGGTGAATATCACAAAATCTTTTTTTTGTTTTTCAGTACGTTCATCAAACCCGTTGTTATATATGCGACAACCACCTAGTGACTCAATGCAAAGCAAGTAAGTGCGGGTGCCACCTTGAGCAAGCTACACCGCTTGGTAAGCGCCACCATCACAGAAGCTACGAGCACCTGTCCAATTACGTGCATTCCGCCTCTGTCGTGCTGGGGAACCCTAAAATATAATAAGCATGAAAAGTGATGATTTTCCGGGTCACTTTTAAGCTCTCACGCCAATCCAGAATGATCCCACTATCAACTTCACAGATAGCATGCTACTGAAGTTATCCTTTGACAAGACCAAGAAGGACAGAATACTAGAAAGGGAGTGCTGTGATGTGATGATATCTATGATAAGCAAAGGGTTTCAAGTATGGCATACTGATGGATCGAAGATGGACGACTTGAACCAAGATTTCATAAAAGTCTGCCAATGGGCTCATCCAAACCATATTCCAAGTGTGTATTCGAGAATATTTTCGTAAAAGGACAAACGAGCCTAGATTAAATATTATATCGGATAGTGAGCCAGTTCCAATGCCCTTAGGCTCATTTAGAATGGCATCAAGGCTTGGTAAAGAGCCTTTCTCTAGCACAACTCAAAGATACACTGCAGGACTACTTAGGATTTGGGAAGAATCTTAGATTGTTGCTTGCTGGCGTAAGTCGAAGGGAATAAGACAATCAAAGAAATTCATAACTCGGCTCCATCCAATGTGCTTAATTTCTTAAATAGTCTTGGAGTGACTACAATTAGAGTTTAGCACAATAGATCTTTCTTGGATCGCAGCGCGAGTATACCCAACGTAATAATAATAATAATAATAATAATAATAATAATAATAATAATAATAAGTTTGCTGGGCAGACTTTGTGAAAGGTGACTTTACTATATGCACCTACTGGGATAAGCTCCTTCAACGTATTTGACTATGTTTAGCTGCGTTGTATAAAAGTCTTAACCCCATCGTCAATGCAATGAATAAACACACTAAAAAGGGCCTTAAACCTGGAAAACCTTGGAGAAGACGAGGGATATATCGAGACTCACTATCTATTTGGTCGATTCTAAAACCGCTTTCGATAGCAAAACAAAAGAAGTTGAGTTCAGTTTACTTGGTCTAAATTTTCTTATGCTGTTTCAGCGATAAAACAAAAGAGTAATATTGCTTAACAAAAGTTAAAATAAAACAGTCATCCCCTGCTATTTTGGTAATAACTCCAATGTCATAACTTTTCTGCTTACTTAGACCTTTTGGAAAAAAAGTGTATAAATATAATTTCCACTAAGAAAAGGCTTACCATAAAAACCGTTTGTCTGCTGGTGGCCCCATTAAAATATAATATTACAAGAAATCTGTAAGGAAACCCACCATTAACTAAACTTTCTGCTCAAATTAAATTTTTTTTATAGAAGCTTGGATACTTTTTAGAACTCTAATAAAATTAAAAATTCATTCGAATTAAATTTATTAACTTTAAAAAGATAAGCTGCTGCAATTTAAGTATGGAATGCACCACCAAATGGCTTCCTCCTTCACAAACGTAAATATGTATACATAAGTACATTTATGGACATGCAGCCCTCCTGTTGCGCTGCTCTATAAGCGAAAACCAAATTGAATTAAACGGCTACCAATTAGTGGAATACTTTGCCCTCGAAAGAGTATATATTTAATGCTTTAATGGCCATTGATGGTTGCAGTTGTGGATGAGCAATCTACGCGCACATACATACATACATAGATTTTCATAGTACGAACGCCATTGAAGATACACATATCTACTTGTACAGCGCAGACAGGCATGCGTTGGAATTTATTGAGAGAATGCCAACCCTTTTAGGCATTTGCACATCCTTATTAATTTAATGGTCTATTACGGATTTTATAAATTACAAGAATTTACAGTCGATTTGAGTTATGTTATGCTGTGCTAGAGAGCAGGAAAGACCTTGCTGCAAGGATATTAATCTTCTATTGCATTTTCCTAATTATTACAGCATAATGGCTTTGATTATAAATTGTTGTAAAATAACAAACAAAAAAATACACGAAACAATCGAGGGTTTTTAATTTCACAGTTGGTAGGATGTTGTAATTAGGATTAGGATTTTCTAATTAAATATTTTGCAACAGTATCTTTACAGTAATAATTTATTAATGGTTTGATACAAATACATTATGGAATTTATTTTACAAAATGAAGTGTGGTGCATTAAAGGTACAGAAAACGCCTTCAATATACAAATATACGTACATATATAGACAAAATTCATGTATACATACATATTTACGTACATGCACTATTGAACGCTTAATGTGTATTTGTGTATATAGAATCTGATTTAATAGGTTAATAAGAAGCGAAACATTTTACTTAGATTGTGAAATTGTAGGACAACTCAAAAGTGGGTTTGAAAAAGTTGGCTGGAATCGTTTTTCATTGAACTCAAATTTTCTCGACCATCTTATATTCATCTACTTTATAAAAAAAAGCTCCCCATTGAACTTTAATTTAGTTTCTTTTCCGACAAATGTTTTTCGCAGAGCTGCAATCACTAACGGCCCGTTTTACGAAAGCATTTTAATGGTGATTTCGTTACTTCCAAAATATGTTGCCCTTCCCCGGTGTTAAGTGTGTTACACTTAACCCTTTAAAAGCGCGTGATTTTAAATTCTTGTCCATGTCTAGCTCACGCAATTCACAATATTGTCATTTTAAGCAACTTTTTGATTTCCAGGGCAACCATCACCCCTGACAAAGCAGCTTCAAAGGGCCGATAATGTGTGTTTTTTGCCTTACAAGAGTGTGACATTTTCAGAAACGAATAAAAAATTTTCTCACCATTTGCCGTTATTTTAGAACCGAATACGAAAGGAGAAGGGGTCAATCAAGGGCGACATTTTTGGTTACAAACCAAATAACAATAAGTGCAAAATTATCTCTTTCTGTCAGTTTCCATATTGAATCCAAATAAATATAATTTTTCACCGTAATTGCTTTTGTGAAACTGCCAGCGTGGCTGACCCGTTTTTTAAACTCTTTCTTTCTCAAGACTTTATATGATTTAAAATTATATCAAAAAGACGAAATTATTTTCGTTCATCTCCTTGAACTCTTCTGCGACATTCTTTCTACTGACATTATTGGTACACTGAATATTTGACTTAAATTATATGCTGACACTAAACTCCATTACTCCCAAGGGATGACATTAACAGAGTGATGGCTTTCAAAAGAAACTTCAAGATTCACACTTATAGCAAGGCAACGCGTTTAGGGCCAGAAACTGAAGCTTCCGGTGCCCCTGGGTACCATACCTAGCACCTTTCAAGCGGAGGTCTATGCCAACAGTCTGTGTGCTGAGATTAAAATTCAAAGAAATTATCGAAGCGAGAGGATACTAATGCGAGCGATAGTCAGAGGGCTCTTAAGGCTCTCTCATCATTCGAGATCGAGTCTTTTTTGGATTTGGAGTTTGTAGAGAGGGTTAATACTTTGACTGAGAACAATAATATTCAACTTATATGTGTACCAGGGCACATGGGGGTCGACAGTGATGAGCAAGCTGATCAGTTGGCCCGAGAGGCTGCAGCTTGGACGCCGATAGGATTTGAGCGCCGCTCCGCCGCTCATTGCGTGGCCTGGGCCTTAGAGTTCACCTGTATAATTTAGCAGTCTAGTCAAGTGACCTGTGTCGATTTTGTGACGCTGACAAGTAGACTCCTTTGCACCTTATTATGGAGTGTGAGGCCATTGTATGTTGAAGCGAGAGGAGTATAGGGCACCTGTGGCCAAGAGAGATGCACATCCCCGGAATATTAACGGTACTCATTTGAGGGAGACATTTTTCAGCTATAACAGCGGTATTTTTACTTATTTTACGTATCGTTCTGTTACGAAATTAAAGGATATGATCTTGAGAAAATTTTTTACATTCATATACATATATAAATGATTTTTCTAATGAAAACATTCGCGGTACAAGGCTCAATAAAAATATTAAAAATAAAATGTTAATAAGCCACAATAACATTGAAAAAATGCTTATAACACTATTATTGAATTTTTTAATGAGAACTTATATAAAACGTAGACATATCGCATCGCCTTTTGCATTTTTTTTTTTTTGTAAATTTCTCCTTGCTTGTAAGTTATCAACAAAATAGCTCGATACAAATAAGTCGCAGTCTAATGAATATTCCTATATGTAGTTATTATATGTATTGAAAAATATAAACGGGTATGTATTTTATTATTCAGGAAAAAGATAACAAGGGTATTCATATAACGTCGCAAAGCCGCCGATAAACACGAAAAAATAATAAATTTGTATCGAATTTATAAGTTTATCGCTTTTATCAGCACTTTATCAGGTTATATGAATACCCCTAATGAAACTGCATTTCACTTGGAAAAAAAATGAACTAAATTTTCCATTTTGTAAAGCTTATTTTTTCAGTTAAGTGTAATTTAAAGTTTTATATTATTTTAGTTTAAATGAATCGTTTTTTGTTATTTATATCTGATAAAATTAATCAAACCTGAATGTTATAAAAAATCTCTCCTTTTTTGAAGTTTACAGTTTTTGGTGGAAAAAACAGTATTTTTCCGGAAATCTGGAGATATTTTTTTGAAAAAAAATCTGTCAACATTGGTGAGGGCAAAATAGTTTCTTACAAGTTAGTTAGTTATATTGTTTAAACTCACCAATATTCATGTAGGCTTGTGTACGTTTGTTAAATTCAGGCCAATCGAGATCGTAGCGGTCCCATTCTAAGGCATGCAAATTAATAAAGTTACCCTTCCAAGGGGCCTTTGGATTGCTACAAAAAATGGAAAAATAAAAGAAACAAAGAATAATGGAATTACTCTAATGTCCGCTTAAATGTCTCTCGGCAGTGCACAATCTATGCAATACAATCAAATTTAAAGATCATGAAAATTCACTTACAACTCGCCATCAAAGAAATTTAGAATTTTCGCAAAGTACGAAAAGTAACAACTACTACATACATAGTATAACGGCTTGTGCAAACAAATAAAAATAAAAATTTATTTCTCTATCCCATTCTATGCATTGCCTCAATCAGTGTGTGGGAATGCCAACACACAGCTGTGCGTGCATGGACACACATAATCACATACAAACAAAGAATTGCATATCTGCAGGCGCAAGGAAATGTTTTCCAATTCATACGCAGTGGCGTACACCGTACCTTGCAAACATTCTACAAGACTGCAATCTTAAGCGCATTTGCAATAAAAATTCAATTTACCGACTATTGCAAGAGTTTTTTTTTAGGTAAAATGCATTTGTGCATTTATTGCGCAAAATTTAGAATCTTATCTTGTGAATGCGAAAAAAATCAAAAAAAAAAAAACAAATCCACACAAGCGTTAAAAGGAAAAAGATTTAAATATAAGTGCAGAGCATTTACGCTGCTGCGGCGCTTACCCTGTTTTTGCAAAATTCGTCCAGTACGTCATGACGGCCTCGGAGAGCAGCTTTTCCTGTGCACCATACGAATTGCTGGGAAAGGGACCGGCCGGTGCAAGTGGTGCACCGAAAATGAAGGCCAACTCTTCGCCTGTAATGCTGTGCGGCAACTGCAAGTAAATAAATATAAAAAGGAAATTGAAAACATTTATGCAAAAGAGAAAGGGCGAGCTGTATATAAAATTAAAGTGACTACATTTTTTTTTCTATATGCTGAATGATACTGTTGTTATGGCGCCTGTAAAAATATTTGTAATCACTGAAAAGCATGACGCGCATTTTATAACAACAAATTCATTTTTTGGTGACTTTCATATAAACTGCAACGAAAAAATTTCTTTGACACTTAATTAGTCGAAATGGTAGGCTTCGATTATGTCGTACCTTTTTTTTATGTATGACATTGTTTTGCGATTTGCTGCCAAAAATATTAAATCATTTGAAATATTCAGCAACATTTTGTTGCTGATAAACTCGTTGTAAAATTTGCAAATCCATAAATCTCTTTAAAATTCCACGAAAACGAATAGTAAATTAAAAATTCAGGTGTCGTTGATACTTTCATTTTGTTGAACTTTTAACCGACACAGGGTGTTCCATCGTTTTTTTTTTTTCGATACTTATACAATAACTATTGCACAGAAAAGAAAGTATTATATACGGTGGCATTCAAAAAGGTCAATGCATACGTCGAAAATATTATGTATGGTCTAAAAAAAAGCTTGGTAGCAGATTTACACAAACCCAAAAATTTCACCTAAAATCTTTGTTTTACCATAAGTGTGGTACGTAAATATTGGTTTTCGCTTACCTGCTTGAATATCGCATTCTTCACAGCTGTCCTGCTTTCGCTAGACTAAGGTTTAAACATGGAATGGTATTTTATTAAAACTCTGAGACGCTCTGGGGAGCTGTGAAGAATGCGACGATTTTAAATCGTGCGGCGTCAGTACCTATTGGACAGTTACCTCTAGCGCTTTGTTTCCTTAACCCTAGAATGGTACACATAGCCTGTGAGGCGCAACTGTTTTTTTTTTTTGAGCTAATTCCAGATCGGTCTCTCATATCAAAGCGTGGGTTCGTGCCAATTCTGTTAAGTGTTCTTTAAGCTTGTATGCAGTACGTGTTTTGTTCAGCTGCATTATGTTGCCGAAAAATTCATACGTGTGTCGCCTATGAGGCGATGTTTACCAATAAAGGATTTTTGTTTTTTGTATTGGAAACTTTTTAATAACAAAAAAAATTTCTAAGCCAAAGGCGTGATATTCTTTTTAAATATGTTAATTTGATCTAAAATCTGTAAGCTAAAGAAATTTACAAAAATATCTCGAACGGAAATATGTTTAAAATATTATGATCTACTAATACGACTGTGACAAATTTCAGATATAAAAAAAATTATTATTTTTTATTAATTTTTGTTACAAAGGATATAGTAAATACGTATTTGCTTTTGTTTGAATTAAATTTTTTTTTATAAAGGTGAAATGTTGTCGTTGTTTATAAAGGTAGCCTCATAGGCGATGTTTACCATCAAAGGGCTAAAAAATATATTTACCATTCTAGGGCTAAGAAGCTTCTTTGATTGTCTACATCTACTATCACTGACACTAAGAGCATTTTTTGGTCCACTCTGAAACTAAGAGTTGATTAGCTATTCGAAACTTCTGAGCTGAGTTACACTTGTGAAAAACAGCTCCACAGGGGACAATAAATAGTGAAGAAGTGTTCGCAGAAGAGTTAAAATCCTTTCATACGCTTACACTTTGTTATGGTCTGACTTCGCTTCATGTCACTGCGGCACATCAGACTTAGAGTGGCTTAAAGAAATAAAGAAATTTGGTTACAAAAGAAGCCAGTACTCCAAATCGTCCCAAACTGTAGCCGAAAAGCTTAAGAAAAAATTTATACATAAATAAAAAAAAATAACATTATAAATAACAACGAATGTCCGAATGTAAAAAGCTATTTTCTCCAACAAAAGAAGAAAGTCTTTGTCCAATGCGAGTTTAGATTTTAATTGAATAGAAAACTATTTGATTCGCTATGTACGATTTTCTACTGTGAAACTGTACCTACACATTTGAAGCACCCTGTCCATGTATGTAAAATAAAAAGCATTTAAAAAGTATCTCCGTTAATATTTTTGACATTTTTGCACGAGTGCTTGCGCCCATGTATCCTCGGGTGTTTTAAAGGTATTAACTGTCTGCGTGTTCATGTACACATGCGCTTATTAAATATGGAGGCACATACACTTGTAACGGGTGATTTTTTTGAGGTTAGGATTTTCATGCATTAGTATTT